CAGCAAAGATATAAAAAAACTGAAAAATGTAATTAACAGGATTTAATTGACACCTATATATCTAGATCTCTATTATATCTATCATGCAACAACAGTGGGCTTCACCTTTTTTTCAAGTGCCCCTGGAATGTTTATCAAGGTAGACCATATCCTGGGCTATAAAACAAGTCTCGATACATTTATAAAAACTGACATTATTACATGTTTTCTGACTATAATAGAATAAAACTAAAAGTAACAAACAACGAGGGAACCTCTAAACATTTGGAAATGAAACAACACGCTTCTAAATGATCCATGGTTTAAAGAGGAAGAATCAAGGATAATTAAAAATATGTAGAAATAAATGTGTAAAGTAAATGCAACATACCAAAATATGTAGGTTACAGCTAAAGGATTGCTCATAGGAAAATTTATTGCATGAAACGATTACTTTAGGAATAAGGAAAGTTGTCATATCAATAATTTAAGTTCCTACCTCAGACTAGAAAAACAGATTAAATTCAGCATGTGAAAAAGGAGCAAATTATTAAAATAAAGGCAGAAACCAATGAAATTGAAAACAAATAAAATAGGGAAAAATTAGTGAAACAAAAAGTGGTTCATCCAAAAATTAATACTGTTGATAAGCCTCTAGTAAGACTGACAAAAAAAAAAGACACAACTCACTAATATCAGGAATATAATGCTATTACAGATTCAGCAGCCATTAAAAGGAGTATAAAGGGATGTTACGACTTTGCTTATAACTTTATAACAATTCAGAAGAAATGGGCCAATTCCTTAAAAGCTAAAAATTGCCAAAACTCAACCAAGATGTGAATAATCTGAATAGTCCTATAACCACTAAATAATTGAAAGTAGATTTCTTAGCAGAACACTTGCATGCTGCGAGAGTGGGATGATATTTTCATAGTGGTTAAAAAAAAAAACAAAAAACCCTCCCAACCAAGAATACTTTAACCAGCAAAATTCTCCTTCAGAAACAAAGGAGATATAAAGAGTCTCCCAGATAAACAAAAGGTGAGGGATTTCATTGCCATCAGACATGCCTTACAAGAAATGCTAAAGGAAATGTGAAACCTACTTTACTATAAATTTAAAGGACAAAAGTATTGAAATTAACTGGAGCTACAATAATTTGTTAATGAATACACAATTTTCAGGGATGTAAGTTGTGGCATCAAAACATAAAATGTAAAGACGGGAATAAAATGTAAGGTCTTTTAAGAGAAATTATTATCAGCTTAAAATAGACTGTTATAACCGTAAGAGATTTTATTTAGCCTTATAGTAAACTACAAAGCAAAAACTTCTAGTAAATACATAAACAGAAGGGAATGAAGTGTACCACTATGGAAATTTATCAGACAACCAAGGAAAACAGCCAGAAGAACAAAAGAACTATAAAACAGCCAGAAAACAATTAATAAGGTGGCACTTTATCAATAATTACTTCAAAGTGAAATGGATTAAATTCTCCAATCAAAAGATAATAGAGTAGCTGAATGGATAAAAAACAAGATCCCAGGGAGAGGGTTTCAAGTTAGAAGACCAAGGACAGAACCTTAAAATCCAATGATTAAAGATCAAACATAGAGCCTTCCTACCCCCAGACCCCCCAAAAAGAAAACAAGATCCAACTATTAGTACCTACAGGAGATTTACTTCAGTTTGAGGACATACATAGTGAAAGTGAAGGGATAGAAAAAGATTCCATTCAAAGGGAAACTGAAAGAGTGCAACTAAGTCAAAAACTGTCACAAGAGACAAAGAAGGTCATTATCAAATGATAAAGGGATCAGTCATCAAGAGGATATAACAGTTGTATGTGTACCTGGTATTGGAGCACCTAAATGTAGTAAATATTAATACATTTGAAGGGAGAAATAGAGACAGCCATGCAATAATAGCCAGGGACTTTAATACCCTATTTTTAACAATGGATAAACTATCCATCCAGAAAATCAATAACGTTAGATTTGAACTACATGTTAAACAACATAGACCGAACAGATGTAACATAAAATAATCTATCCAACAGCAGCAGAATGCACATTCTTCTCAAGCAGGCATGGAACATTCTTTGTGATAGATCATATGTTAGGTTAACAAAATCAGTCTTAAACAGTAAGTGCTGGCGAGGTTGTGGAGAAAAGGAAAGCCTACTACATTGTTGATGGGAGTGCAGACTGGTGCAGCTACTGCGGAAAGCATGGAATTTCCTCAGAAATCTAAAATTGGAACTGCCTTTTGACCCAGCAGTTCCACTGCTGGGATTATACCCTAAGAATCCTGAAACACCAATTCAAAGGAACCTGTGTACCCCAGTGTTCATAGCAGCACAGTTTATAATAGCCAAGTGCTGGAAGCAACCTAGGTGCCCAACCTAGTAAACAAGTGACTCAAAAAAACTGTGGTACACTTACACAGTGGAATACTACGCAGCAGAAGGAAAGAAGGAACTCCTACCCTTCACAACAGTATGGATGGAACTGGAGAGCATTATGCTCAGTAAAATAAGCCAGGCAGTGAAAGACAAATCCCATATGATCCCTATAAGTGGAACCTAATCAACAAAACAAACAAGCAAGCAAAATATGACCAGAGACACTGAAATAAAGAACAAACTGACAATAACCAGAGGGGAGATGGATAATGGGGGAAAGAAAGGAAAGATTTGTCCAGCGACATGTATAAAGGACACATGGACAAAGCCAAAGCAGGGTAGGATTGAGGGTGGGGCAGGGGAAAACGGTGGCAGGAAAAATGGAGACCGTACTTGAACAACAATTTTTAAAAATCAGTCTTAACAAAATTTAGGAGATTGAAATCATATTGAGTATCTTTTCCAACCAATGTAGTATGAAACTAAAATCAATGATAGGAAGAAAATTACATAAATCACAAGTATGTGGAAATCAAACAACATAATCCTAAACACCAATGGGTCAAAGAGGAAATAAAAAATATCTTAAATGAAAATTGAAGTGTTATATGACAAAACTTATGGGATGCAATAATACGAGCAGTTCTAAAAGGGATGATTATAGCAGTAAATGCCTACAGTAAGAAAAAAAAGAAAGATCTCAACTCACCTAACTTTATACCTCAAGGAACAAACTAAGCCAAAAGTTAAAAGAAGGAGGAAATAATAAAGGTTAGAGCAGAAATAAAAGAAATGGAGACTAGAAAACAATAGAAAAGGTGAGTGAAACTAAGTTGTTGTTTTGAAAAGATAAAACTGACAAAACTTTAATTAGACTAACATTGGAAAGTAGAAGAAGACTCAAAATGAAATAAAAGGGGCATCACAACAAATACCATAGAAATACAAAAATTCATAAGAAATTACTATGAATAATTATATGCCAACAAATTGGATTATCTAGAAAAAATGGACAAGTTCTTAGAAATCTAAGACTGAATCATGAAGAAATAGAAAATCTGAACAAACCAATATTGTAAGGAGATTCAACCAATAATCAAAAGCAAAGAAAAGCCAGGACCAGATGACTTCCCTGATGTATTCTACACAATGTTTAAAGAAGAACTAATGCCATTTATTCTCAAACTATTCTAGAAAAATGAAGAGGAGGGAACACTTTTAGATTCATTTTATGAGGCTAGCATTACCCTGATAACCAAAACCAAACAAGGGCATTCGGAAATGAAAAAATTACAGGCCAATGTCTGTTGAATATAGATGCAAATAACTAGTAAATTGAGTTCAACAGCATATTAAACGGATTATATACCATGATTAAGTGGGTTTTTGGCGTGGTATGCAAGGAATGTTTCAACATACTGAAATGAGTAAACACGATACACCATGATAACAGAATAAAGACTAAAAATTATAAGATCATCTGAATAGATGCAGAAAAGCATTGACAAAAATTTAACATACTTTCATGATAAAAACTAATGTGTTGTACTTTTTAAATATATACAATTTTAGTTGTCAACTACACCTCAATAGAGATGGCAAAAAAGAAATGCATCTGTATGTACTGTGTTGCGTTGTATGTGTTGGAGGAATAAGAAAAAGAATTGGAGGGTGGCTTCTGTGAAAACAGGTTTTCATTTTTACAGTTTTAATCTTTCACATTTTTCTTATATTTTATTTGTTATATGTATATTTAAGTATAATAGTATAAATAAATGTAGTGTTTAGATTTAGACATTGCCTATGTCCTTTAATTTTCATAATCACAACATTGAATCATGGTTTAGCTTGATGGTAAAGGAGGTTTTAAAAAAAAAAATTAGGACCCTGGCTGGTGCGGCTCAGTAAAATGAGCACCAGCCTGGGAACCAAAAGGTTGCTGGTTCAATTCCCAGTCAGGGCACATACCTGAGTTGTGGTTACCAGGCACTTGAGGTAGCCACACATTGATGTTTCTCTCCCTCTCTTTCTTCCTCCCTTCTCCTCTCTCTAAAAAGAAATAAATAAAATCTTTAAAAAATAAAAAAAGTAGAGGAGTTACTTGAACTCTGTGTATATGTTGTCCAGAAATGGAACAGAAAGAGAGAGGTACTACAGAGGAGAGCCAGAAAGGAAATGTTTGGGTCCATGGATGCAGCTTTTCAGGAAAATTTGAATTGCTCCTTTCTTTCCTTTTTCTTTTTTTTTTTTTTAGTCTTTTAGTTGGGTGATGACAATGAGTGAACTCAAGCTCTAATAATAGGTGAACTGAGTATCAAAATCTAAAATGCCAGTTTCCAAGTAGACTTTAAGTAGAATAAATGGTCACAAGAAAATATTAGCATGATTATTCCTGGGGAGTAGGATTAATGAAACTTAAGGGGTAGGAGAAAGATACTACTTTTCATTTCATACTAGTAGAGGAGCTATTTAAATAAATGCTATAAATGTATGTTTAAATTCCTTGTCAACACTTTCTTAGAAACTAACACATTCAAACTTGATTATATTTATTTGGTATTTCTATTTAATATTTATTTAACCTATTTATTAACTTCTGTTATATTTTCAGAACTGAAGGCAGAAGCTAGTCTAATGGACCAGATGAGTAGTTGTGATAGTTCATCTGATTCTAAAAGTTCATCATCTTCAAGCAGTGAGGATAGTTCCAGTGACTCAGAAGATGAAGAATACAGATCCTCTCCTTCTAATTCAGGAAACTGTATCTCAGGACATCCTTCTATGTCTGCTGTGGCGCATTGCAGGATTCCCAGTATAGATGCTGGTCATAATAGATATCATGATGATAGTGGCCTTCTGATGAATACTTTAAGTAAGTATATATAAGTAAGTGTACGTGAGTCTACATATATACATAAGTAAGAATTCACAGTGAAGCCATACTGATTATGATCTAAAATTTGGATAAAGAGAAAGACTCTTGTTTTATTCATTTGGCAGTATTATTACCTTCTTATTGAATTATTCATTTTCTTTTCACTCTCTGACATAATGTCTTACTGGTTTTTCTCCTGTCTTTCTAGATACTTTTCATCTCTCCTTTGCTGGTTTACAAGTATAATGTTCTACTCAGTTATTAGAGCTGGAGTTCTTCATGACTTAATCCTAGATTTTTTTTTTTCTTTTTCTTCTGTGCTCTTTCCCTGGATAATCTCCATATTTCTGTTGCAATCAGTTAGATTAACTTGTACATTTGCATCTCAACCCAGACCTCTGAGCTCTAGATGCACAAATCCAACATCATCTTTTAGTAAAAGGCATTTCAAATTCACTTAGCTCAAAACCAACTTACAATATTTGGCTGAGCGTGTTTCCATTTAGTAAAAGACGGGATTCCTCTAATTATGCAAACCAGAAGCCTGATTATATTCAAGGATTGACTTCCTCTCTTTCTTTACAGTACAGTCAGTCCTTCAGCAAAATCCTATTTTTTTTACCTCCTTAATATTTCTCAAATTCATCAATTTCTCTGTATCTGTACCACTATTACTATAGTTAAGTATACCATTATTTCCTGCTTCAACTATGCAATGACTTCCTAATTGGTTCATCCAATGTCTGCTCAAACCTATGTTTGATCTCTTGTGCACACTGCAGCATATTGATCTTTTCATAATTCAACTATAATTTGTCACCTCTTAGGCTTTAAATTTATTAATAGCTTGTAATTCTTGTAGGATAGCAACAAAACACCTTAACATAATGGTCTTGGTCTTTCTGTTACAGCAACGTTTACCTTCTTTTGTCACTGTACTCAAATCCTTTCACCAAGCCCTTGGCCCTTATAAATGTTGTCCATGCATCCAGAAACACTTCTTTCTCTTCATGTAGTTAATTTTTGCTCATTTAGATTACAATTAAAGTTTATTTTATCAAAAAAGCATTTTTTGACCTTCCTGACAAAGTCAGATCCCCTTTTTTATAGACCTTCAGATTAATATCTTCTTTATATCAAATGTCACAATAATAAATTTATATTAATTATCTGATTTGCTCTCTTTCAAAGCATAAGCTTCAGGAGGACAGCAATCTTACTTATTTTTGTTTTGTCATTGAATACTATTACCTAGTATAGTACCTGATATGCAGTAAATATTTTTAATAAAGGCATGCAGGTTGATACTCTCTGGGGGTGAATAGGACTTCCTGTATGTTTAAAACTAATCTCACTGTATATACTAATCATGATAAAGTAAGCAGCTGGGAGAGACTGACTAGCTGTAGCCTAATAATAGAATTAAACAATAAAGGAGCCAAGAGTGGGTAGCAGAGAGAGTAAGACTGTGAGTTAATTAGGGACCAGGAAACATCTTTTTGAACTTCCATTATTTATATCTTTAATGTTATTACTTGTAACTTCAGGGGTAAAATTGGAGTGTCTGATTTTCTGTGAGCTTTTTTTTATTTCCATTTACCATTTAGATCCTTTATTCCCCCCTTCCGCCGCCGAGTCACCACACTGTTGTCCATGTCCATGAGTCCTTTTTCTTTTTTGCTCCATCCCTCCCTCTTCTAACCTCTCCCACTCCTCATAGCTATCATCCTGTTCTCAATGACTCCATCTCTGTTTTGCTTTTAGTTCAGTTTGTTCCTTAGATTCTACATATGAGTGAAATCATATGGTATTTGTCTTTCTTTGACTGGCTTATTTCACTTAGCATAATGGACAGATAGTGGCAAAGGGTTTAATTTACTAGGAGGATAAACAATTATGAATTGGTATGCCCATAATAACATATCTTTACCATATATATATATATTAAGATTTATATATACATATTAGATATTAGGTATATATATTAAGAGATATATATATATATACACATATGTGGGGGATATATATGTGTGTATATATAAAAAATAAAAATTGACAGTAGGAGAAATTGACAAGTCTTTATCATAGTGGAAGATTAATGCATCTGTAATTGATCAGACAAAATTTAGTAAGGGCAGATAAAATCTTTTCACAATATAATTTATGTACCTATTCTAATAGGATAGAATTCTACAATCCAAAAATGTGAAGTGAGTATTTGTTTAAGGTATATATAAAACATTTATAGAAATTTATTCCTACTAGAATAAGGAAATAACATATTTTGAAGAATTCCTATTTTATTGATTATTTTATATGACTATAATATAATGAAAATATAAATAACAAAAATTAATTTAAAATACATGCTTAGAAACTTCAGTGTGCATGCCTAGTAACTTACATGTTAAAAGGAAGCTACGGTAAAATTACAAAATATTTATAATTAGTATCAAAAAGAATATATATCATGATTCCAGAGGGAAGGGAATGAAGAGGGTATAAGGGGGATAAATGGTAATGGAAAAAAATACAATAAAAAATAAACTTAGAAAAACTAATAATATATCTCAGCAATTTTGTACTACAGCCAACATGGTACTTATAGGGAAATTTATAGCCTCAAAAAGCTTTTTTTAAAGCTTAAACTTTTATTTTTTAAGTGTGTTTTATTGATTATATTATTACAGTTTTCCCAATTTATCCCCCTTTATCCCCTCTCCGCCCTGCAACTCCCAACCCTCCAGCATTCCTCCCCCTTAGTTCATGTCCTTGGGTTATACATATAAGTTCTTTGAGTCCTCTGTTTCCCATACCATTTTTCACCTCTCCCCATCTATTTTATGCCTACCAATTACGCTGCTTCTTCCCTGTACCTTCTCCCCTCATTCCTTCCTTCCCCCTCCCCACTGAAATCTTTCCATGTGATGTTCATTTCTCTGATTCTGTTCCTGTTGTGGTTGTTTGCTTAGTTTTTGTTTTCATTGTTTTTCTTTTCTTTTACATTCATTTGTTGATAGTTGTGAGTTTGTTGTCATTTTACTGTTCATATTTTTTATCTTCCTTTTCTTAGATAAGTCCCTTTAACATTTCATATAATAATGGCTTGGTGATGTTGAACTCCTTTAACTTGACCTTATCTGAGAAGCACTTTATCTGCCCTTCCATTCTAAATGATGGCTTTGCTGGATAGAGTAATCTTGGATGTAGGTCCTTGCCTTTCATGACTTCAAATACTTCTTTCCAGCCCCTTCTTGCCTGCCAGGTTTCTTTTGAGAAATCAGCTGATAGCCTTATGAGCATTCCTTTGTAGGTAACTCTTTCCTTTTCTCTTGCTTTTTTTAGGATTTTTTTATATTTAATCTTGGGTAACTTAATGATGATGTGCCTTGGTGTGTTCCTCTTTTAATCCAACTTCTTTGAGACTCTCTGGGCTTCCTGGTAGTCTGTTTCCTTCACCAGTCTGAGGAAGTTTTCCTTCATTATTTTCCAAATATGTTTTCATATATTTGTTCAAATATGTTTTCATTTTCACACGTCTGGAACAACCTGAAACGTTCCAATGTCCTAATTATAGGGGTGCCAGAAGGAAGAGAACATGTGCCTGTGGGGGAGGGCCAGACAGGGAATAGTGCAGCTCGCTTATTCATCCCTAGCGCACTTTTCAACGGACTCTCTTGTGAGACTGGGAGCTTCTCCTACTGCTGCAACCTCCGAAGCCCACAACCACCTCTTAGTCCTCTTAAGTCAGCCCCACCTGAGCAGCCCACAACCTTACCGCAGCCAGCCCTGCCCCCAAGGTCTGCAGTGTAGCTGCAGTTTTTCTGAGTTGGCTTGCGAGGTCTGCTGCCTTACTGGTCTAGTTGCTCTAGTTGATTTTTGCTTTAATTCCTTGGTTGTTGGAGTTCCACACAGTTTGCTTTTCTGGCACTTCTGCTTGTTTTATTGATTTTAGATTGGTTGTTATCCTCCTTTTGGTTGTGCGAGGAAATGAAGGGTTTCTACCTAGGTCTCTACCTTGTCCAGAACTCCTCTGTAAAGTTCTGTAAGAGCTCCCAGTTTCCTATTCTTTGCTTTTTTACTCTTTTCTGTGATAGCAGCCACATCAATTTTAGTTTCAGTAGAAGCTTCCTTAGGCTTCATAACTGGTTTTTCTTTAGGTGGAATAAAAGCTTTGTTTCTCTCCTCTTGTCTCTTAGTGAGGGCTTCTGCTTGTTTAGCCTTTATTGTTTCCATTTTCTGCTGCTTCTTTTGACTTGCCTTCAGAAAGTATTTGCCGCTAGCCAATTCTTTATCAATCTGACTTCCTGGCCGTGGTGGTAGGAATGGTGTATACACTTTCTTAACAGTTTTTTACTTTGATTCCTTGCATTCGTTTACATTTTTGTGCTTGAACTGTGACAAAAATCTTTCCCAATTTTGTGATCTAAATTTGGAATCTTGTACCAATTCTCTTTAATCATTAAAGGTCTTCAGGCATGCTATTTAAATGAAGCACTCCTTGCTAACAGTTTTATCAGGCCTCTGGCCCTAATGATGATATAGATCAAAGGTCTTTGTTGTATATACTGTCATGCTGCCCTTGATCAGGTCCAGGGTTGTGTTAACGCGGTGTTCATTCAGTACTTTCTGCACCAATGGCCAGCACTCTTTCAAGTAAGCCTTTCTGTATTTTGGGAACAAAGTTGCAAAACTGTTGTCCTCCAAGAGTCCTTTGGGATTGTCCTCTTTGGAAAAAGCTGGTTCCTTCCCACCATCAGGGACAGCGAGGAGTTCTGATTCATCTTTAAACACCATAAACTCAGACTTTGGTTCTCACACGTTACCCCGTTTCTCTGGCTTTGGCTTCTGCTTACAAAATTCTCTTTTCCCAGCCGCTGTAGCTGGCCAGCTCAGTTTGGAGGATGCCATCTTCAAATCAAAAAGCTTTTTTTAATTGAAAATAGATGAATAAAAGTTTTACTTTGAGGAACTAGGAGAATAACAACAAAGGAAGCAGAAGTAATATAGATAACAATTTAATGTAATTGAAAACAAAGGAACATTAGAGGATAAACAAAACCAGAAATAATTTCTTTGAAAACTAGCAAAAAAGACCAACTTCTAAAAAGGACTGTGAAGAAAAAAAGGCATAAATAAACAATATTAGAAATGAAAAAATGATTAAAATTATAGCTCTAATATGCTTTTATTTTTTAAGTTTGAGAATTTTGTCTCTAATTCTCTACTAATTCTTCTACAAAGTTTCAGAGTATAAAAAATTAGGGCGAGTGATCCAATTTTTAGTAATTCTAGGATAATCTATATCAAAAATGTATAAGAACAAGATAAAAAGCAATATGGATCAATTTCCCATAAGAACACAGATGCAAAATTACTAAATAAGATAGTAGCAAATTGAATAACCAGTGTACTTAAAAGAAGTAAGCTAAATCATGACCAAATGAAGGTTATCACAGAAACTGAGAAGTGTTCAGTATCTGAAACAGTGTCAATATAATATACCACATTAACAGATTATAGAAGTAAAGCCATATGATAATTTCAACACATTTTAATTTGCCAAAATTCAGTATTTATTAATTTTAAGACTTTTACCAAGGGTTGAATATGAGAGAATTTCTTTAACTTCATAAACGTTAACTACAAAAAGAAAACTATTGCCAACATTATTGTAATATTCTACAAGCATTCTCACTAAAGTCAGGAAGAAGACAAGGAGGCCTCATACTATGGTTTTTATTCATTATTGTGCTGATTCCAGCAAATGCAATTTAAAAAACAAAAGAAAGGAGATATAATAATTGGAAACAAGATAAAATTCTCCTTATTTATAGAAAATGTAATTTTCTACATATAGAAATAATAAAAGAATTTGGAAAGTTTGTGGATAGAAAAAATACATGCAAAAGTTAGTAGTAATTTGTTATACTAGTAATAACCACTTGGGATTTCTTTAGAAGAAAATTAGTGAATTTATTTTCTCAATATATCTTATCTAATCTGCAGATTTCCTAATAAGGGGAAGTAAACCCTCTCTGACATGCAATCATCCCATTTCTCAATTTTATCAAACCTGGTAACCTCTTTTATAACAAATGTTTTTAAGTCCCTCTTATTGTCTTAAAATGAATTTTATAGCTTATGTACACACATCTTTGAAAATAATTAATTTAATATGATAGTAAGACAAAATAAAAATAATTTATAGTAAACTAATATACAGGGGTGGGCAAAAGTAGATGTACAGTTATAATACAAATAACTAATACAATAATTAATAAATACTAATACAAAAATAAACTGTTTTTTTTCATACTCACAACTTTAAACCTACCTGTGCCCACCCCTATATATGCACTCTGTAAAAATATTCAAGCTTGGCTGTACCAGAAGACATAATGAAGTAGCTATATGTTTGTACTTACTTTTAATGAATAAATTTGGAATTAAGATGAGCTAGACAACATTAAACTCATATTGTCAATAATTTTTATTTAACATGTTGGAGTAAGGACTGGAAAAGTATATACATATACAAGGTCTGGCAGAAGTAACGCCTGCTTGAGTGTGGTTGGTAGGGTAATGTGGGAGTAATAATTTATAGTTTTAACTTGAACCTTTCACCTAAAATGTCATATTGTGTGCTTGAGTGTGATAGTGTTATGTTACAGAATTACATGCTTATGATTTAGTAATAAAAATGCTGTAATTAAAAAGGGCATTATTTATGCTGGAATCTGTATATTCTCAGACTTACACATACAGACAAGTATCTAAGTCCTGTATTGTTGACCCAAATACAGTGAGCAGCCTTGCGATCACTAATGTGTTTTCCCAAATGATTAAAAACAGAAAATCTTTGTATGGTTCTGAGAAACACAAAATAAGGTGTTCTTTCAGTTGACACGATAGCTACATCCTGTACATTTACATGTATGTTAAATCTGTACAAAAAATATTTTTAGTTTATAAAAAAGCACTTAGGTTATGGCCTGAAATTATTGTATAAACAGGTCTCCCAAGTACATGAATATCCCACTAGAATTTCAAGTTTTACAGAATGAGGAAGAGATCACTATTGTACAAGACTGGCCCCGGCATTGCAAGACATTGGCATCTCTAAATTCCGCTCCCACTAAATGCCATTAGCAATCTGCAAATCATCTGGATAAGCAACTACTCGGGTAAATTACTGTAACATCTCCCAGGGAACACTAATGAAAACCATTTGTTTAGATGTCTAAACATCTCCCATTTATTTAGATGTCTAACATCTCCCAGGGAACAGTATTGAAAACCATTTGTTTAGATGTCTAAAATGCATTTGCTATGAGTAAATTCCCTCTTTTCCAAATTATAATTACCATTTCTATTAAAAATAATCAAAAGGTACTAAGCATCTCATATTCAAAGGCTAATCTCATATCTTCAAAACTGAACATTTTAACAACATGGTAATACTATGCATATAATTTCCTATAGCAAGAAGTCTAGTAAGAAAAGTATAACTCAGGATGTTTGGGTTTGTGTCACTCAGGAAACTCATATTACAGGCATCAGATCAAGTTTAATATTCTTATGCTATTCAGTAGTTGTATAATAAGTTGGAATTTAAGTTTTGAAAATGATAAAATGGTCATGGGAACCAGATGCACAAAGAAGCTTTAGCAGATTTCTTAATCAAAGGATATAATCAGTTCTGGGCTTCAGATAATGGACTGAGATATCTTACAGCAACTTGAATATTCCCTAAAAACTATTCCTCTTAAGCTCTTCAAAATAGGCCAGCCATTGTTGATTATGGAGGAGTTAAAACTATAAATATATTTTTAGCCATTTTAATTTACTACCTAAATGATTTTGTCCAATACCATAGCTTTAAAGCTTCAAATAAACCCCTACAATCAATGACTCCCAAATCTTTATTTCCAGCTCTAGCCTCTACCTTGAGTTCTAAACTTGTATATCCAATTGCCTATACCATATATACTTAAATATTTACTAGGTATCTCAAATGTACCATGTCAAAAATTGAGCTTGTGATTTTTCTCACACAGTCTTGTTCCTCTAATGTTTCTCATCTCAGTAAATGATGCAATCTTTGATTCAGTTATTTAGACCAGAAACTTTGGGGGTCATTATTTACTTTTCACTTTCTCTCATGCCCCATAATCCTGTGCTAATTGGTAGTCGTGTAAGCCCTACCTTCAAAGTACATTATAAATCTGTCCACCTGAACCACCTGAGTCAAAACCAGTATTATTTCTTATGTGAGAAACTTCAACCAACTCTAAATGCTCTCCCTGATTCCACGTTTCTTCCACACCATTATAGTTTATTCAGAAGTGTCCAATTCGGTTGCCTGCTTATAATTTCTGATGAATTCCCATTTCAAACAAAATTCAAAGTTTTTACCATGACCTAGAAACCGTGGTCTTCTAGATATCTTTCTGACCTCATTTCTTACCATTCTCTTCCTCATTCATTTCACTCCAGCTACCGTGACCTTCTCACAGTCAGAAAACACAACAAGTGTGCTTCTGCTCTGGGGCATTTTTATGTGCTGTTCCCTTAGCCTGGTCAGTTACCCCTCTCCATATTTTCAGGACTTTATTTTTACATTTGGATCTCTGTTCAAATGTCACCTCTTAAGGAGGCCTTCCCAACTACCTTATCTAATACAGCACTTCTCACCACTCTCTCCATACCCATCTTTATTTTTTCGAAGTATTTATCCCTACTTAGCATTATATTCTACATTTTTAATTTGTTTATTGCCTGTTTCCCTCAATGGAATATAAGCTTCATGACCATAATCACATGGACAAATTACAAAAGGAATCAATGACTTACTCTTAACAAACACTATGCAATGATTTTGACAACATTTCAGAATGATAGTCTGATCTTCTAAACCACATTTTCTCTCATTTCCTGATGTAATTAAATCAGTGGTATAAAAAGAAGGGTGATGTTGGTATGTGAAAGAACACTAAAATGGTATCATCCACTAAAACTATGCTGAGATTGATGGTGTATTGTTTCTTTATAGGTAGTATGGATTATTTGAATTACTAATGATGTAATTAAATCATAGGATCAGCAATCTGATTATTAATGACAAAAATATTGGCTAAACATGATCACTTGGGATTACTTTTTGTATAATATTTATGTTATTAAAAAATAAATATAATGATATGTAACTACTAAAGTTTTTTTGTTTTTTATTTTAGGAAGTGATTTGCAGCTGAGTGAATCAGGAAGTGACACTGATGACTGAAGAAACATTCAGCTATCCATATAAAATTACAAGACATGTAATAATTTATTTTATATTAAGAAAAAATATTTCTAAGACTGAGGAAAATGTACCTTAACTTTAAATGATAAAAAAAATTAAATTTGATTCAGAATTTTCAGTTGTTACTTTTTTTTTTTTTATCCTTTATGGGTACCAGCATTTTCAATTGTTTTCATTTAATCTTAAAACTTTTTTGAAGTTTTAAAGATGAGAAAAGAGACTCAGAGGTTAGTAACTTGCCTGCATATTGTTAGTTAAGAGGTAGCAGATCAGGTAGGTGTTCTATCGTTCAAGTTCAGTGCTTTGTTTTACCACATTACTGTCTCCAATTGTGAAATGTCAAAACTATGTGTTTATAATAAATTCTATGATTTTAATCACATCTCTGAGCCTTTTCTATCATATTTCTTAAGTTTTGTTGAAATATATTAATTCTTGACATAATTAAGCTATAATTTAGGGTATGGTGAAGCTAAATAATTGTTTAAAATAAGTATTATTTTATAATATTTTTATCATTTTCTTATTTTGCTTTTGAGAGAAAACTAAGCAGTTAAGTGTTGTGAAGGCAATTAATATTTATAGCTCTAATATTTTTTTAATCTGGATGAAAGATAAATAATAGATTATAGTTGAAAGCTATTGACCAGTAGCAAGGTTTTTTAATTATTAAACTTTATTTTTATTTTTAGTTTACTAAAACTGCCCTATTTATTTAGGGCAGTTTTAGTTTCATAACAAAAATTGAGCAGAAAGTACAGCAAATTCTCATATACTTCCTGTTCACACTCATGCACAACCTCCCTTACTATAAACATCCTGACCAGAGTGGTATATTTAGTTGATGAACCTACACTGACACATCATCACCCACAGTCCATAGTTTATATTAGAGTCATTCTTTGTGTCATACATTTTTTAGGTTTTCACAAATGTATAGTGACATGTATCTACCATTGTATTAGTATACCAAATAGTTTTCACTGCCCTGAAAATCCTGTGGTCTGCCTATTCATCCCTCCCCGCCAATTTTTAGACCTGTTTTTTTTTTTCACAGTCTCCTTTTCCTTTTTCAGATGTCATATAGTTGGAATTATATAGTATGCAGTCTTCTAAAATTGACTGCTTTTATTTAGTAATATGCACTTAGGTTTTCTCCATGTCTTTTTCATAGCTCAATTGCTAACTTCTGTTTAACACTGAATAATGTTACATGGTCTTCATGTACCAATTTATTTATCCACTTACCTACTGAAGGCATCTTAGCTGCTTCCAAGTTGTGACAATTATGAATAAAAAAATTGTTCAACTTTACCTCTTACCAAAGACATGGATGTAAGGGTTTTTTTTTTTAATCCTTAAATTTTGGTTTTAATCTCTTCTCATTTCTTCTGTCTTGCTTTTTCTGACATACCTTTAGCTGATCTGTCTTCACTTTTTTTTCTATTTTATTCACCAATACTTTATGAGAATCAAAACTATGTCATTTATTACTTAACTGTAAAGCAAGCTCAAATATTAAAAATCAACTTATTTCCTACCACAAAACCTGTTGAGATTTCATGTTGAAATAATAGATTGATTTCGGGAATATTTGTTTACAATATGAACCTTCCAAATTATGATCATGGTAGGTCTCTCTATTTGTTTAGATCTTTTTAAATTTCTTTAAATAATATTTTATACTGTTTATTGTTGAGGTCTTGAACATCTTTCATTAGATTTACTTAGGTATTTTGTATGCTATTATAGCTGATACTATTTTTTAAATCCCCCTTTCTATTTGCTTCTGCTGAATTTAAATATTTATTTTTGACTGGGGGGTATGAGGCTGACACATGTGTCATGAGGGCCTGGTAGGGGAAACTTTGTAGGTGGTGCAGGGTGGTCATTCCTTACCCCAGAGGGTCCACAAGTTTTGTTGTCAACCTTTAAAGGTATAGAGATGGCAGATAAAAATCAAAAGGTCTGGAGTCTGGGACTTCTGATCAAGATGGAAATGTAAGTAGACATACTTTGCCTCCTTGCACAACCATAAGAATGATCACAACTAACCTCAAAACAAAAAAACACCCAGAACTGCCAGAAAATTGAACTGTATGGAAGTCCAACAATCAAGGACTTAAAGAAGCCATATTCATCCTGACTGGTAGGAGGGGCAGAGCCAGGGAGGAGAGGACTCGGTGTTGCAGCAGCAAGGCAGCAGCAGGAGTAATGAGAGGTGCCACATTCACATGTGGTGGATGAAAATCAGGAATGATACCTGGGGAGCAAGTGATGCTAGTCCCAGGTCAGACCATGTAGCCCAGGGTTCCAACGCCAGGAAAATAAAGCCTCATAACTTTTGGCTATAAAAAACAGTGGGGGTTGGGATGGTGGAAGAAACTACCGGTCTCTCAGGAGAGACCATTTAAAGGGCCCACATGGTCCTAGAACATATGCAAACCCATCCACTCTAGGAACCAACACCAGGGCAACAGGTAAAGGGCCACCAGTCATGTAGGGAAGTGAGTGAAGTGACTGGAAGTGGAGCGAGTGCCGAGTAAGCCTCCAGCAGCTAGGCAGCAGCATTGCCCCCTCTCCACCTCTCCCCCACATACGGAGCCACAAAGCATTGCCCCACCCTGGTGAATACCTAAGGCTCTGCTCCACACTACTTAACAGGTGCACTAAGACAGGAAGTCAAAGCTGTTCTGCCTAATACACAGAAGCAAACACAGGGAGGCTGACAAAAAGAGGAAACAAAGGAAAATGGCCCAAATGAAAGAAGAAAACAAAGCCCCAGAAAAAGAACTAAATAAAACAGAGATAGCCAACCTATCAGATGCAGAGTTCAAAATACTGTTGAAAGGATACTCAGAGAACTCACTGAGTAGGACAAAAGCACAGGGGAAGAAATGAAGGCTACAGTAAATGAAATAAAGAAAAATCCACAGGAAACCAACAGTGAAGGGAAGGAAGCTGGGGTTCAAATCAATGATTTGAAGCATAAGAAAGAAAACAGTCAACCAGAACAGAATGAAGAAACAAGAATTCAAAAAATGAGAATAAGAAGACTCTAGGATAACCCCAAAAGTGCCAACATCTGAATCAGGGGTGCCAGAAGGAGAAGAGGAAGAGCAAGAAGTTGAAAACTTATTTGAAAAAATAATGAAAACTTCCTTAATTTGGTGAAAGAAAGATATACAAGTGCAGGAAGCACAGAGTCCCAAACAAGTTGGACCCAAAGAGGAATACACCAAGACACATGATTAAAATGCCAAAGATTAAAGGTAAAGAGAGACTCTTAAAAGCAGCAAGAGATAAGGAGACAGTTACCTACAAAGGAGTTCCCATAAGACTATCAGCTGACTTCTCAAAAGAGATCTTCCAGGCAAGAAGGGGCTGGAAAGAAGTATTCTAAGTCATGAAAGGCAAGGACCTACATCCAAGATTACTCTATCCAGGAAAGCTATCATTTAGAATGGAAGGGCAGATAAAATGCTTCCCAGATAAGGTCAAGTTAAAGGAGTTCATCATTACCAAGCCCTTATTATATGAAATGTTAAAGGGACTTATCTAAGAAATAGAAGAATATCAAGAACTATGAACAATAAAATGACAATAAACTCACAAATATCAATAACTGAACCTAAAAAACAAAAACTAAAACTAAGCAAACAACTAGAATAGGAACAGAACCGGAGAACTGTAGATCACATGGATTGTTTTCATTGGGGGATGGGGGGAAGAGAAGAATGGAGGGGAATGGCACAGAGAATAAGAAGCATAATTGGCAGGCATAAAATAGATGGGGAGAGGTTAAGAATAGTATAGGGACTGTAAATTGTGCTGCTATGAACATTGGGGTGCATAGGTTCTTTTGGATTGGTGTTTCAGGGTTCTTAGGGTATAGTCCCATCAGTGGAATTGCTGGGTCAAAAGGTAGATCCATTTTTAGTTTTCTGAGGAAGTTCCATACTGTTTTTCATAGTGGTTGTACCAGTCTGCAGTCCCACCAACAGTACACTAGGGTCCCCTTTTCTCCACAACCTCTCTAACACTTGTTGTTTGTTGCTTTGCTTATGATGGCCAATTCTGACTGGTGTGAAGTGGTATCTCATTGTGGTTTTAATTTGCATATCTCTGATGGCTAGCCATATTGAACATCTTTTCACGTGTCTCTCCATCCTCTGTATGTCCTCCTTGGAGAAGTGTTTGTTCAAGTCCTTTACCCATTTTTTAATTGGGTGGCTTGTCTTCTTAAAGTGGAGTTGTGTAAGTTCTTTATATATTTTGGAGATTAAACCCTTGTCTGAGGTATCATTGGCAAATATGTTTTCCCATACAGTTGGTTCTCTTTTTATTACAATAGCTAAGTGCTGGAAGCAACGTAGGTGCCCATCAGTATATGAATGGATCAAAAAACTATGGTATATTTACACAATGGAATTCTATGCAGCAGAAAGAAAGAAGGAACTCCTACCCTTTGCAACAGCATGGATGCAGCTGGAAAGCATTATGCTAAGTCAAATAAGCCAGGCAGTGAAAGACAAATACCATATGATTTCACCTTTAACAGGAACCTAAACAACAAAACAAACAAGCAAGCAAAATATAGTCAAAGACACTGAAATAGAGGACAGGCTGACAGTGACCAGAGGGGAGAGGGGAGGGAACTTCAGGGGAGAATGGGAAGGGTTTACAGGAACAAATATAAAAGACACATGGACAAAAACTAGAGGGGATGGAAATGGGAGAGAGGTGGGGAGGGATGGGTGGGTGGGCTGGAATGAGAGTAAAGGACAGAAAACTGTACTTGAACAATTATTTAAAAAAAAAAAAAGAATAGTACAGAGAAACAGAGAAGCCAAAGAACTTATATGTACAACCCATGGACGTGAACTAAGTAAGGGTGGGGGATGCTGGAGAGTTGGGAGATACAGGGCAGGGGGGCGGTAAATGGGAGAAAAAAATTGAGAAAATCGTAATGGCATAATCAAAAAATACACTTTTAAAAAGTAAAAGAAAATTAATGTCAATACTCTAAAGTTTGGTATTTGGGGTACCTGTAAGCACAAATAAATTGGTGCATTGCATATGAATGCTATTTCATCTGCTCTGCTAGATCAAATGCTA